CCCCTCGCCCCCGCGCGGGCCCACACCCTTGGTCCAAGAGACCCCTCTGGCAATCCTGAATGTCAGCTTTGTTTCACTGTGTGTGTCTCTACGTCCATTTTCCCGTCAGCTCTTATAGGCAACGTTGCTGAATGGCATGGTGGGGATACGCGAAGCGTCCACATGCAGCGCCCGTGCACTGAGAAAGCAACCAGTCAACTGCGACGACGGACGGACGCTGTCTGGCCGACCACACCTCAAGCCACTGAGATCACTTGGACACTGCTGCCCCAATAGACGTAAACGCATTCCAAGGAACTCAGAACATTTAAAAGACATTCCTGGAAGTTCTCTTCCAACAGAATCCAAGAATCCCTTCTGGACATCGGCATTCAACGAAGGGTAGATCCCGAATCACTGACTCGCGATTGCCGTTGGAAGCCGACGGCGAGCCATACGGGAGACGCAGGAGAAACGAAAATGGAGTACGTGTTCTCAGACGGGTGGCCAACGAACATGTGTCCAGTAATCAGGTCCCGGACCCCCAAGCGAAGGGAGGTCTCCAAGCCGCGCCAATATTGATACGGACATTCTTCGGTGCGAGAGCCAGTAGAACGCAATACGAACAAGTGGACAAGTGGCGCCAAGGACGTTTGCGACGGCCACTAAAGTGCCTGAAAGTCCCCGGGGGTCCTGGGAGCCCTTTACAATCCTCGGAGGGCCTGAATTGCGAGACCAGTAATTCAAACACAACGGTAACAAAACTATAATAATAGGAACCTCGACGTCCAACAGCTTCTACCCACGATCTTCATCATCGGCACCGCCGATGCAATGCACCCGGCCAGCCAGTCCAAGCATGCGCTGGCCACGAACCTAATGATACGAAAACCGCACCAACGCCCTGCGGAGCAACAAGGCGCGATGGCGCAATCCTTCCCAACCTTCTCACCCTCAGACGATGTTATCCCTCCACCTCATCCTCCGACATTCGGTCAGTCCGTCGACTATCCCCGATCAATTCGCAATATTTCCCGGCGTAAGCATGGCGGAAGTAGCATGATACAGGGGGTGATTTCTGATTATTGTAAGTTTTACGCGTACTATTTGGTGTGAGCGCTATTAATAATAGTATGATTACGGATGCTCTTCGTATTAATGTTCGTATTGTGAAAGGTTTAGTACATTACCATTACTATGATTATTGCTAATATTGTTATTCCCAACATGTTTCGTGGGGATATGGTTTTCTTACTTGCCGCGGCGCACCCGCGTCTCCTCACACCTCCCCTCCTCCCTCTTCTTCCCCACATGTTTCGTGGGGGTCCGGTTTTCTTCCCTGCCGCGCCGCACCCACGTCTCACCCGAAAACCTCCCTCTCCGTCTTTCTCTCTCTCTCTCTCTCTCTCTTTCTCACACCTCACTCTTCCCCTCCTCCTCACAGCACTGCTCAGCGCAGCTCAGCTCAGCTCAGCTCAGCATGGCACAGCTGAGCACAGCTCAGTTCAGCTCAACTCAGCACAGCACAGCACAGTACAGCACAGCACGGCACAGCACAGCACAGCTCACCGCACAGCAGCACAGCACAGCCCAACACAGCATAGCACACAGGGCATTCCTTCGACGCCACAGGGGGTGCGCTGGGGGTGGGGGCCCTATGCGCTGCAGGCCCCCAGGGCGTGGCAGGCGTGGCATTTCCTGGGCGCCACAAGGGGTGCGCTGGGGGTGGGGGCCCTATGCGTTGCAGGCTACCAGGGCGTGGCAGGCGTGGCATTTCATCGACGCCACAAGGGGTGCGCTGGGGGTGGGGGCCCTATGCGCTGCAGGCTCCCAGGGCGTGGCAGGCGCGGCATTTCCTCGACGCCGCAGGGGGTGCGCTGGGGGTGGGGGCCCTATGCGTTGCAAGCTCCCAGGGCGTGGCAGGCGTCGCATTTCCTCGCCGCCACAGGGGGTGCGCTGGGGGTGGGGGCCCGATGCGCTGCAGGCTCCCAGGGCGTGGCAGGCGTGGCATTTCCTCGACGCCACACGGGGTAAGCTGGGGGTGGGGGCCCTATGCGATGCAGGCTCCCAGGGCGTGGCAGGCGCGGCATTTCCTCGACGCCACAAGGGGTGCGCTGGGGGTGGAGGCCCTATGCGCTGCAGGCTCCCAGGGCGTGGCAGGCGCGGCATTTCCTCGACGCCACACGGGGTAAGCTGGGGGTGGGGCCCTATGCGCTGCAGGCTCCCAGGGCGTGGCAGGTGTGGCATTTCCTCGACGCCACAGGGGGTGCGGTGGGGGTGGGGGCCCTATGCGCTGCAGGCTCCCAGGGCGTGGCAGGCGTGGCATGTCCTCGACGCCAAAGGGGGTGCGCTGGGAGGTAGGAGGAGGAGGTAGAGGAGGAGGAGGAGGAGGAGGAGGAGGAGGAGGAGGAGGACGGGGAGGTGGGGCAGCAGCAGCGGCAGCAGCAGCAGCTACAGCAGCAGACGCAGCAGCAGCAGAAGCAGCAGCAGCAGAAGCAGCAGCAGGAGGACGACACCGAAGAGGAGAAGGAGGAGCAGCAGCAGAAGCACCGATGGTACGCATGGGAAATAAAATAGGTATGTGGGGTTCCTCGGTAGCGTAATTATTGTGGTTGTTTAAACTAATAATAGTACGACTACAGTAGTAGTAGTAGTAGTAGTAGTAGTAGTAGTAGTAGTAGTAGTAGTAGTAGTAGTAGTAGTAGTAGTAGTAGTAGTAGTAGTAGTAGTAGTAGTAGTAGTAGTAGTAGTAGT